CAAGTTCTGGACAAAACTTTCATTTTTGTCTCTGGGATCATTTCAAAAGAAAAGATAGAAATCCAATAGATTGAAAGAAAATCTCGACATACACAAAAACATTTATCTAAGTTGACTGAACATTGATAACAATGATGTTGATGAAGCTAACGGAGTAAAAATATGATACTGAATTCTGATTTACATCCACAAGACACTACAAACACTGGTGTGTTACTTGTGTGTGTTTGTGGTCATGTTTGTGTCTTTACAGCACGTACATGGCCTGTGTTGAAGTCCAGCGGGATGCCCTGAAGAGGAGAAACCGGCTGCTGCTGATGTTGTAGCGGCGGCTGTTGTCGTTGTCGGCCCTGGTCGCCTGCGTGCTGCTGCGGTTGGTAGAGCGGGTAGGGGGGGGGCGGCTCCCTCGGCATGTTGCTGGTATCCAAAGCAACTCCCTAGATGGGACAGAGAGAACCAGCAGCAGTCACGAGTCTGACCATGAGTTTCATTAAAGATGCGAGGGTTTATTTACAGCATTCACTTCCTTGTAATCTGTGCACGTCCCAGCAGCAGCGACGGAAATGCTCCATGTCCATGAGAGAAAAGTGCGGACATGTTCAGATCCCAATAATCAGCCATCATTAACATACCAGACCTGATCAGACCCACAGACATGAAATAAGAACATGTCCACATGCTGTGGGTCAGTCTAGACATCTGTTTTAACTATGTATGGGTTTATTTAACAGATTAACCCACAGTATGAATCCATTAATTATCAACGTTCCTAGATTAACTGTACATGTAGTTTTTATAAAGATCATTGCAGTGGACAATAAACTACTGATTTACCTGTGTGATGGGGGACAGTGAAGGGGACATGGTAGGAGACAGCTGCTTGGTCAGACCCCGGCGCTGCTCGGTGCCAGGAGACAAAGTGAGGGGGCTGATGGGAGCGGGCCGTCGCCGGGGGGAGTTGCCGGAAAGACGCAGAGATGAGTTGATGGAGGGATTACTGAGCGATGACTGAAGCTGGCAGTTGTTGAGGGATGCTTGAATTGAGGGATTGCTCAGAGAGGAGGAGAGTCCTGCAGGGACGATAAAGACAAAAAGATGAGGGCGGGATAATCAGATTTCAGTAGATTGAAAGGACACTGATAAAAAAACAGATGCAGTCTCTTAGAAACCAGAGAGAACATGTGGAAGTTAGGGTGAAGAATGTACTGGATTTTCCAGCTTCCTCTCCAGCGTTAAACCTAAAACACTAGACTTTATTGTGCGATGAGGGAGAGAAAGATGTAGAGTGAAGTGAAGGAACATGAGAGGACAGAGGAAAACTGAGGGAGAAGAAAAGAGCTGCTTGTAATCAGTCAAAACAGGGTCAAAGTTCCTCTGTCACTTTGGTGCTTGACCAAGCTAAACTGTGTTCAACATGAGAGCCAACCACACATGAGGAGGACGCTGAACTCCACAGATCATTCACTCTGGTAGAGGAACAAACCTGGAACCTGCTCAACACACTGGAGCATCGGTTCCAAACTTTATCAGAACCGAAAGACGACGACTCACTTCCATTGACATGCACGGATTTCACAGATTCACAGTGAGAAGAGGCAAAATACAACGAATCCAACAAGAGGGAAACATCTTATAAATCCTATTCATTTAAAAAGAGTTAAACGCTAAATCATTGATATAAACAATTTCATATGAATTAT